ACCGCTTAAAACCCATCGTTCCTTGAAGGAATGCACGTCGCCCGTGATGTCTCACGTGTGCCTGCATGATGAAAACATGAAAACAAAAACATACTACCTACTAACATTCAAGGGAAATTTGTTAAAAGAGAAAGTAATTATTATCTTAAGGGGATGGAGATGTTTGTGAAGCCGTGGTGTCGCACCAGTCTGAAGATGTGATCCACTAGATCTCAGGGTATTAGATTGTGGAATGATCTGGAGGTTGATATTAAAAATGCCAAAACTATGTACATATTCAAGAAGATGATAAAAAAAATTTCAAAACAATATTAAGTATAATGTGAGTTCATAAAAATTGTTTACAGTTGATCTTATATTTTAGCTAAGTTTTTTAAATTATTTTTTATCTTTTTATTTTTTTTATTAATTCATCTTGCTTTTGTATAGTAATTTTGTTTGGAATATATTTTGGGGACAAGGGGCAGATTTTATAAGAATTCATTCTTCTTCTGCTGCCTTTCATTTTATTTCGGTGATTGTATATCTTTTTTCTTTTCTTTAAATTGTATTATATTTGTTGTTTGGATGAAATGAAATGAATAAATAAAACATACATACATACATGATCTGGGCTTGAAGTTTGAGTTGAGACTCTCGGCTACAACCACACCTAATTTCAGCTCAGTTTTTGTGACAGTCACTGAGAGACAGTCGTCTTTGTGCAAGCTAGGTTCAATTAGCTGTGGCAGCCATCTTGAATTGGGTTAATCAGTTGTAAACATTCATCAAATCAGTCAATGCAACTTTTCCAGAGGTGGTTCTCGTGCAAACGGGTCCTAAATGTTGATCAGCTGTAGACGTCCATCCAGTGGTTACTCGGTGAGTTTCATTATTTAATTTATCTGAAGCTACAGACAAACACGCAGAAACGCTCTGCTAACAGGACCAAGCTGTACACAAGACTATCCTGCTAACAAGACCACCCTGCAAAACAAGACCACGCTGCTAACAGTACCATGCTGCTAACAGGATCGTGCTGCTAACGGGACCATGCTAATAACAGTACTATGTTGCTAACAGGACCATGCTGCTAACAGCACTATGCTGCTAACAGGATCATGCTGCTAACAGGACCACACTGCTAACGGGACCATGCTAATAACAGTACCATGTTGCTAAC